TATTCATCATTACACTAAACATAGTTTACATGGATTCTGTGGCTATTAATGAGAAATGTTTTAACAATGTGGCCCAAACTGGAGCTCACTTAGAGAAACGCCATATGACACACATTGAAAGAGGTGACTAACACAGTTCTTAAGATCTTAAAGTAGTCTATAGGTTTAGCTGCAGAATATAGTGAACGTGTGCTTTGTAATGTTTAATTCCCCATTTGGGGGTTGGTGACAAAGGTGTTATTACTTATTCTATGTGTGCGACAAACTCTAATTCAAATGCCTGTGTTGCTATGGCACTAAAGGGTCCGTGTTTTCATGTTGGGGTGCTGAAACCTGAGGGATTCCAGTTTGGGTTTGTGTTACAGTCAAAGGTTAAGTCTGAAAATACATTATGAGAGTTTTATAATCCCTTTTGTATGTGTGGATGAGGACATCATCTGGACGGAGGTGTAATTTTGTGTTTTTCAGCCTGCGATCTCTGTGGGTTCGGTCACCAGTCTGGAGCCGTCCCAAACCGTCTTGAACTGCTCCGGGACGGGAAACTCCCTCTGTAAAACAAATATAACATAGTGAAATTCAGCTTCTGTCCAAACTGGAGCTGTTGCCTTCCTTCTCCTTAGCCCTATAATGCCAAATGTATCATATTTGATTCACACAGTTTCTGAAGTCTTTTGGATCTGAGACTTTTGCATCATTTAAAGGTAAAAGCTTTGCTCAAACCCCTGTTGTACACATTCAGATATACCTGATAACAGCCAGTAGAAGACTACACCAAAATATATTTTTGACTTATTGCACGCTAATTTGATCAAAATAATTGTTTTTGTTGTGGGGCCAAAGAAAGACTTCAGACTCCAAAAAATCCAATATTCTTCCTATTTTTCTCAGATCGGGCTTTAAAGGGTTACACTTAAACGCAACTTTATTTATCCCTTGGGATTACTCCTTCAGGGAAATTCTGGTTCCAGTAGTTTATGAAGAGTAAAAAAGACTATATAGAGACAATATAAAAAGATTGTATATGGTGCAGATGTATATGTTTCCTTTAGATATAAAGTATCCACACAGTCGATTTCAAACTGGATTGAACTCATGACTGAAATAAGAAACGGGGAACAAATTACTTTTAAAATTCATTTGAAACTTGACATTTTTCACAAACTTTTATCAAAATGGCACTCCTACAGGGTAAAGTGTGCTGTGCTTCAAAATGGTTCATGATTCATCGCTACTTTCAACAAGCTGCATTTTTGCCAACCGCTCTCTATGTCGAACTGTTCTGTGTTATTAATGTTGTACTGAAAACTTAGAAAAAATAAAATATAAAAAAAAAAAAGTATCTACACAGTAAAGACTACACAGTAGTTGACTTGGATTATTGCACATTCATTGCAGAGTAGTGCTGACCATATCCTCCGGAGACCCGGGCCATTCATTTATGTCCATTATAGTGGACATTTTGTCCACCTGTACCCCCCCTAAGTATCTGCAGTTACCCTTAATAGCCCTATAGTGTTCTGTAGAGCACATCCTGGGCTTTCCAGTGATGTGCCATGTGACAGGTTTGCATGCTGGGAACTTGACTTTTTTCCTAAGAGTTCTTAGGTAAATATCCCTTTCAAGACATCTTCTTTTTTATTATTTAATTATCTAAAGCCTGTTCTATTTTCCCATGCAAATCGTCCTGTTGTCC